TATAGCAGTTTCAGGATGACAAAATAAAGGTGTAGTTTATGCATGTGTTTTGTATGCTGCTGGTAATCATGTTGCATTTTATTGAAATATCCATTTATACTTTTATTTGAAACTATCATGGTATGTCACATGAAACTGTGAATACTTATTGTAATGTGGAATTCCTTGTGAGAGTCTTGTCAATAGTAACTGCCGTATGACTCACCCCACACCAAATGACTCTTGACATTGTAAGTTCCCAAAGGATATTAACTTGTGTGTTAACTTATCAAAAATGCTTAAGTACTTTTTTATTTATACAAGTTTCAGTAGCATGGCCATCAACAATGATATTTGCATCATCAGGGTGGGGACATTTTTAAAGTTAAAGACAGAAATATCATAATGATTAAAGTCTGCCTTGGATTACATTCAATCTCATTGACTGCATGCTTTACAAGTGATCTAATTAGATCCATTTCTTGTTGTTATTGTTGTATATTTTGTATATTTTATATATATTGTATATTTTGTTTAATAATTGATCGTGGGTTATGGTCCAAATATAGTACAGGGAGAAGAGATTTGTCCTACATGTAAGTATGGGTACCTGCCATTCTTCACTGTTTTAAATTAAGGGGAGAAGCTGTGAGGAAAGTTTTAAATGACTACACATATTTTGAAGAAGGAATCTTCAATCAGTGACTCCATTTCTGAGTGAAAACTTTGTGATGCTGTAACGGAACAGTGCTAGCTGGATTCATGCTCTGCTAAATATGTTCTGATTAAGAAAAGATTTTTTGAAAATTTCTCTGATATAATAAAAACAATTCTGTTTTTCAACAACATCAGACATATTTAATATAAAAAAAAAGCACTAGAAGAATTCTCTTGAACTCCAAAGAGACGTTAAAATTAAAAAGCAATCAATTTAAAATGCAAGCAACTTCTTAAAGCATCTTAGTGTACTTCAGAGGTGGGTTGAGGCTGATACCTGGAAAAAACACATCTAATGTGGAAGAAATGAGAATGGTTCCCAGTCTCTCCACAGCTACTCAGATGTTATTGAAACTTGTTATTCTTTACTTTGAAAAAAAATACAAAATACATAAATACTGTTTATGTTTTTATGTATTTATTTTGTATGTATAATTGTTACCTAATCTTTTAGACTTGTCTCACACAGATGGAAAAAGTCATTTTTGAGACTTAATTTTTATTTTGTCCAGGAAATTTATCAGTAGCTCTTGTTATAAAAGTCACTTATGCAGTCTGGCTTTATGTATTAAGGAAGGAAATATTTCCAAGTTAAACAATAGTTATTTAAGTACTTGTTCGTGGATTGTCAAATCGCCTTTGCATGCCCATACTCTTTCTGTCTTCAGTTTCTAATACATGCTAACTTCAGCAGTCTTGAATTTTGGTCTGAAATGGCAGATTTGCCCTGGGGTGTTTATTGGATGTTAAGCAAACCTCAGCTCTGAGATATAAAAAAGGAAGAAAGTTCAGAAGTGAATTGCTACCTGGAACAGTTTTCTGAAGGTGTTCTAACTCCTTTTTTATAATGACCTTGGTGAATCTGATTGCTTTATGTGACTTAGATTTCAGCTTATCTAGCAATGAAATGAGAGGGCTTTCTGTAACCTTGGACTTGGCATACTTAATACCATGTATTAATACCGTAGTCTAAATATACATCATACATGACAGCATCTACAAGTTGTAAGTATTAGATGCATAAGGGCTGTTAACTTTGCAACCACTTGCACAATAAAATAAAAATTAAAAAAATGATGTTTTCTTAATGCTAAGTAATATGCTGCAGGTTGTTTGTAGATGTTAAGGGGCTGATCTACTTCCTCTGTTTACAGAACTTACGAAGCAAGAAGAGAATCGGATTTTTCCTAGTGCTGTTTCCTTATACTCCTCTACATTTAGCACACAGATTATAAATTTACAAAAAAAGTAGTTCAACACTGCTGGTTCTGTCATTATGATAGGTAAGCCCAGAAATTTTGGGGTGAGTTGGCAGTGCTCTTGTTTTCCATTTTCTGAAATTCCTAGAGCTTCTTCTTGTTCTGTGCAGTGGTTTGATCAAGACTTGCTGTTGTTTCTAGAATTACTGTAGCTCTAACACTGCATAAAACATAGACCTCCAGTGGGTAACAAAGCTAGGTAGACCAGGTGTGGTAAGCATTCATAATCATTGCTGTTTTGAATAGTGGGAAAAGAGATTTCTGAGAATGATATCAAGCTGTTCTTTCTTTTCAACAATTACACATCTGTGAAATTGCTCATTTCTCTGCACTTCAACAGCAGACCTCTAGTAAACAGTATTTACTAAAGGTTCACAGGCTAATTTGTTCTGGAAGTAACCTACTCAAAGCAGAGATAGCTAGGAGGTTAAATTTCTGTAAATTTATTATTTTAATAAACTTCTGAATTGGGTCGTTCTTAGGTGTAGAAAGAACTCCTTCAGAAATCTCTTAAAACGATGTACTTTTACCTGAAATACGTGCCTTTAAAAAAGAAACTAGTAGAAACTTCCATGTTTTATGAACTTAGGACAAATCTTTTCCCATGCAGACAAATTACTAAGGCTCCATTTGGAGCAAATGGATTGCCACAGTATTTATAAAAGCACATCTTGAAGCTTGCGCAGTGAATCAGTCACTCCAGGCTATTATGTCACAAAGTGATCACTGCTAATGTGTCAGGTCTCAGTCAAGAGCATTAATACAACTAATGCATGCAGTTGATGCATGTGTTTATGCTGATTGGGTTTGCACGTGTGGCAATGAAATATTGGTCTCAAGTACATGGCAATACTTCACCCTGAAACTTATGCTTTGCCTTCTTATTTTGATAAGAATATTTTGCCTTTTTGGTAGCTTAACAGATGTGCTAAGATTTTAATTAAATCAACCAGTGTTCCCTAAGGCAGAAGAACAGTCTACTGGGTGATGGAGTAAAAGGATGTCTCGTAAAAGATGTTTTCTCATGTCTTCAGACAAATGGGTTGAGTGCAATCAAATCTGACAGTACTGTCTGTGGTTAACTGCTTAAATCCTTACTTATACAAGTTTGTCTCTTAAAAATGCAGCTATTCTTAGTGGGCATGATGGGAGTAGATTGAGCTTGGGCTTGGTGATCTTAGAGTTGTTTTCTAACCTTAATGACACCATGATAGTAGTTGAAGAATACTTGTGCTGAAGCTGCTCATCTTCTTGAGCATTTCTTTGCCCTTGCAAACACAGTGAGAACCTGGAGCTGAAAGCAAGACTCCCTATTACTCATCCCCTTCCTCAAAAAATAAAAAAGAGTAACAGCAAAATTAATTCCTTCTGTTGCAAAATTCCATGAGATTTTTAAAACTTGCTCAGTATAACTGAGCATAAATTACTCCCTTGATGTACGTCTGCCTTGTTCTTTCCTCTCTTCCATGATGTATGTGTGGGCATGTAAAGGAAGGATGGAAGAAGTCATGGCAGTTGATATATGTACCTGAGGTGTCTGGTAGCCTGGGAAGGTTGGCTTTTTTTCTGGAAGAGAAAATAAGAAGTTGACTGCACTTTTTATGAGCCTTTTACTGTTCTGTCATAAATATCCATGGCAACATGACTGTTTCTTTCATGCTGGTATTGTATCATCAAAATAACAATAAATGTGGATTTAAATGAACACAGTCAAATAGAACTTGCAGCCAAGTGTGTCTGAAAGGAACACTGTTGTTGGAATACAGAAGTTTTCAGACATTTTACTTTCTCTTTTTTTTTTTTGGCTATTTATGTTCCTTTTCTTGTTCTCCTTTTCTCTCTCTTCCATCTCGGTTCACTGTGTAGCGTGTGTAACTTAATTTGTCAGTTCTATCTCTATGCCATGTGAAGCCTTAATAAGGGTCAAAACTAATTTCAGAAAGGTTTCCATTCATTTCAATCTGTGAATCTCTATTGGCTTTGATACAGTCCAAAACGATTCCTCAAACAATTGAATGCAATGATACACTAATGTACACTGTGGAAACTTTTTTTAATGGATGTGATGCATAATGTTGTTTCTGGATGACTTTCATATGACCGGACAAACAAATAGATAGAACTCCCTCTTCTAATTATCAGATCTTGCTTATAAGCAAGCTTGTTTTGTTTTATTTTGTGCTACACAGAAAGCTAATTTTTGTTTTGATATTCGATTATTGTACTGTTGTCAAGTGCTGGAATGGGCTGCCCAGGGGAGGTGGCTGAGTCACCATCCATGGAGGTGTTCAAGAAACATTTTGATGTCGTATTAAGGGACATGGTTTAGTGGGGAATACTGGTAGTACGTGGATGGTTGGATACTGGAGGCCTTTTCCAACCTTGGTGATTCTGATTGTTGCATGATTTGCCATCCAACAAACTTCACTTGTGACAGAGTAAGGAATACTTAAAATGAAAACATTTTAACAGTGAGCTTTACTTTGTATTTTTTAAAATCCGATGGTAAGATCAGATGAAATAATAAAACAGAATGCTCTGAAAGTTGTGAGTTGCATCTGCTGCTGTATGGTTTTTAGAGATTATATCAATGTTTTGAAATAGCATTTTGGAAACTGTTGCCACTTTTCAACTTGGTGTGGCAGTGGAGTGAATGTATATCTAACTGACAATTATTTATGAATTCTTGCTGTGCAGAGGTGATAACTCTCCAGATCCAGTCTGTCAGGCTGATTTGTTACATGATGCCTCCTTCAAGCAGTTATTGCCTCTGTACCGTGAATCTTGTATAGATTCACTTCAAACAAATTTAGACTCCAATTAGATAATGCTGATATTATTTTCATTACCGTTTCTGTCTTCTTCCAGGCAGAATCCCTAAGCCCTGCTCTGCCGTAACCTCAAAGCCAGCTGCTGCCTGCCCGTCCCTCCCCATCCACCACTACCAAACCCTCCAGGACGCGGCTGGAGGCAGCACGCTGACTGATCGCCTCGAGCAGGCTGTGGGCTCGCAGCAGCAGCTCACTGCCTCTGACATCACTCCTGGAGCTCACATCCCACTCCTAGCTCCGTTCATTAGTCTATCCATCAGTCGGCAGAGGAGACAGGAGACGCTGCAAAGAGGATCTGTGAGGAACAGAACGAAACAGAGGGGCTACATCATGAAATACTTCCCTGCTTATTACTTGCTGCCTCTTTTTCCTGCACTGGTCTTCAGTACTAGGTGAGTAAAGAGAGCTATTTTGCTTACAGTTCTGTTCTGTTTGCTATTTATTCTTTTAGACTTGGGATTTGCAGTAGGAATTACACTGGTTTCAGCTTCTGCTTGGAAGTTTAAAGCATGGGTATCTTGTCTGATTCTTGTCTTCCCCCCTCCCCCTCTTGATCCTCTGAGGCATGCTGAATCTTTTGTATGTTATTTCTGGGTTTTGTATATTGTTAGTTAAAGAGCTGCTGCTGTGTAAGTTGACCCTCAGCTCATGAGATGAAACAGGACAGGGAACAAATATAAACTCCATATGTTTTGTCCATATTGCTCCATATGCAGCAATAGAATCATAGACTCAACATTGCTGGAAAAAACCTCCAAGATCATCCAGTCCAATATTTCCCCATTAATCCACATCTCTTAGTACCACATCTAAACATTTCAAATAGCATGGGAAGTAATGAAGCCAAAAATGCTGAAATGGAGAATGTGCTAATGTTTTCCCGTATTGAGTGCAGAAAAACAAACAATTCAACAGTCTTATCCCAGCTCAGGCTTTTGCATCCAAACAGAGACCTTAATCCTTCTGGTGAAATACAGGTAAGGTGTTGCAGTGTTATCTCAATGCCAGGAAATACTGAAAAGTTCCTGCAATCCAGCAGCACTCCATTCTGTGCAAGTACAGCATGTCATGAGAAAATACGAACAAAACCTACTGCAAACTCAAAATGTAAACTGTTCTGAAATGCAGTGCTCTGATAAGATAACATGCATTGCACAGCTGCTTATACTTACTATGTTGTCTGTTCTGTGGGCATAACATGTTTAGCCAGGGGAAGATACAGCTGATACACTCTATCTCATTGTCTAGTTTAGAGAAGAAGAGTTAATGCTGGGCGCAGAGTAGATATGTCCTAATAACACTGCTCACAGTTCAGGCTTCTTAACTTCCCATTGCTTGATGGAAAATTAACCTGAATTTTAAGCATGACGTTTCTCTGCTGTGCTGTAGTACCGAATCAGCTTCTAAGTCCATAAAGCACATTATCAGAGGATGAGTGCATTTGTTAGGAAAGTGCTTGATAAGGCATTTGTTCCTGTAATTTGTTTGTTTATTTCCTGCATGTTTCAAGCCTTAATTGTTCATGGAGTTTCAAAAAGAAAGTGCCTGTTAGGTACTCAAAGTAAGATGGGGCAGGAGCACCTCTCAGTGCATACGCAAACACAGAACTGTGAAACTGTAAAATCTGAATGCAGGGAAAAGTGAAGAGCATCATAATGCTTCAATTATTTTACTTCTGCACTCCTGCACTCTTTTTTTTTTTTTTTTTTTTTTTTTTTTTTGAGGGAGGTGTTAGGGTTATGTATGTGACTTTCATTTTTCTGTAATGCTTGTGGTTTAGAAACTATAGAGCCAGTCAATATAAACAACTCCAATGCTCTTTGAAATATAAAACTCAGAGGAGAATTGCGACAGTTTGATTCAATAGGTTTCCTTTCTGATTTAATAAGCAGTCTAAGGAAACATTCACTAGCAGCCAAGCGAAACTTGTGAATTTAGATTAATAGTTACTCATACTCATTTAGAAGTAATATATTCTTTCCTTAATTATGCCAAAGTTGAAGAGGAAAGGAAATACCAGGGCAGTACAAAAACAAGTTTGCATCTTGCACAGGTTTGCACAAAAATGTAGTTAAAAGAAGTGGGGGAAGTTGCTTCAATTTTTCTTATGTTATGGGTTTTACGAAACTGAGATAAATGACTCATTGAGTGCTCAGGAGATGAATCTGGGAAAAAGGCCTCTAGTATCAAACCCAAAAAACATTCCTAATTGAGGGATGGAAACTATCAATGTGAAACTGTTCACTTAAAACTCTGCTCAAGCACTGTTTTGTGTTGTGAAGTTTTGCTTTTGTGATACCGTCCTGTAGCACAGGACACTGATGCTCTGCTATAGTTCTGGTGATTTATAAGACTGGAGGTACTGCACCATCCTGGTCAGCAGCTGCCTTCAGTCACTTGATTCTTAACTGCCTGTGTAGAACTTTGAGTCATTTTTCAACAGCACGTGATTGAAGCTTAAAAAAATAACACAGTGCTAACAATATGCCATCTACTGGAAGGAGATGATTCTCTTTCAGCAGAAGTCATTGCCTGTAGTTTGTAGCAGTCAGTATTTCTTGGGAACATACTGTCAATGCATTAGCTAGACCTGAACATAACAGGAACTTAGGAGCAGTTGTGTGAGCAAAAAGGAGAATTTAATATTGTGCTGTGTGAAATTGCTTAGCAAAGGAAAAGCACAGGCTTTGTGGTACAGAAAGTTTTCCATGGTGATTTTTTTCCCCTTCCCCTAAATTTATAGAGAAGTGAAGCACCACTAGTTAATACGTTGGTGCTGAAATCAGTAAACACAATATTTAATGCAGATGTGGACAACTGAGGTTTTTTCGTCCTTGTCTTATGTAATGTTATTGTCTTTGCCTCGTGTCATGGTTTTATATCTTCAGAAGACATCAGTGTGTCCACAAGGCTAATTGTAAAGAAATGAATTGACGAGTAGAACTGCATTAACACACATCTTGATGTACTTTATGGTATTATTAAGAAGACAAACATATGGTTCTTAAGCTTGTGTTCAGTATTAATTTCTAGTTTTCAGAACGGTACTAATATCTTATCATGGTCTTAAACCACATAAATGAACCACATGTCTATTACATTAGAGAAAGTTCATGTTTTTAAAATGAACACTTCTCTGTACTGCATAAACTTGGTTTTCATAGAATCGTAGAATCATCAAGGTTGGAAACGAATTCCAAGTTCATCCAGTCCAACCATTCCACCTACCACAAGTATTTCCCCACTAAGCCATGTCCCTTAGAACAATATCTAAATGTTTCTTGAACACCTTTTGATGTGGCTTTGAGAGTTAGTTATTACTCTTAATCATTTCAATTTTCTTTGTACTGCGAAGTGGTAATAAGATTGAGGTATACTTGCCTGTCCAGTTAATGATTTGTTTGGATGGAAATAGTAAATAGAAATAGTAAAAATTAATGCTTGGAGTCCTAAAACAAATTAAAGAGAATACATTTTTTAAGCTGAAATTACTATTCTAAAGCTTGTGTTTCCCTGTCTGTTTTCAGATTTCCTTGGACTGTTTGGTCTGAGCAGATGTAATGTTGTATATATTGTATATATAAGGTTGTGTATATCTCATTTTTTCAGACTACACTGAAGACACCTACAGAAACGAGTTCTACAGAACCAAGCATTCAATAAGTGCATATAGCCTATAATAGGCAAAGGATCTTATTTTGTCTGTGTGCTTTAATGGATGCAGATGCTTAAGCCTTCTGACTAGGAAAAATACTATTTGTGGAAGAGAATAACTGCATGAAGTTATTCATTTCGGTTAGTAACTGAGATCTGCAGCACTGATTATCTATCTTGTTGAAAGAGTCTTACTTGTTTTAAGCTAGAAGGAGCATTTTCTATGTATTAATTAAACATTACAATCAGAAGATCAGGTATTTAAATCAGCAATGTTTTTTGTTGCCCAAATGACAAATGTCTGACTCATTAGAAGCATCTGGGTGTGAAGCAAAATTGGTATTTTTATCTAAGACAAGTGCGTAAGAGATAGGAATTTTCTGTCCACGCTTAAAAGTTGCCAGATGCAAAATTGGATTGAAATAGAATTTCATAGTTGAGAATAAGCATAGGATGCATTTCCATAATAATATTAATAGAACTAAGCAGCAACTCACTAAATGGCTGTGCAAACACCAGGGCTGTGAAGGGCAGAATTTGTATTCCTTTCATGTCAGTGAAATGGCTGATGGTTTTTTTTCTTAACAGTGTAACGGCGTGACAGTCTTTCGAAACCAATGTGAGAAAGCAATATAGAATTCAGTGTCTTCTGAAGAAATACTACCTTTGTTTTTTATCAGAATAAAAGTAGTGTAACACCCGCCCATTTCTGGTAGGTGGGTGTTTCTTAATGCTGGTATGTGTTTTCGTTTGTTGTACTGCCACTGTTGGAAGAGATGTAAATAACTGGAACTTACTTCCTCTACGAGATATGAGAACCTGACTCAAATGCTTGCTTTTTCCCTATGCTGTATGTTTGATGTCAGCTATTTTCTTTAAAGCATTCGTTGGTTTTGGTAACTTCTAAAGTACATAAGAATACTGGTATCTTTCAGGTAACATTGTTTGAAGGACTTCATCTGAGCCTCGATAATGGGTAAACGTGAATGCCTTTGACATTACTATACTGGAAGTCATGGAAAAGGAAAGAAATGTTGAAGGAAATCATGATTTTTTTGTTTTCAATTTGTTTTTTTTTTTTGTTCTTAAACTCTTGATCTTGGAAACTGGAACAGGTTCCTAGGGATGTGGTTATGCCGTATCCCTGGAGATTTTCAAAGCAAGGCTGGGTATGGCCGTGGGCAACCTGGTCTAACTGTGGAGTCCTTGTTCATTCCCATTGTTCATTGAGGATTTGGCCTTCGGAGGTCCCTTCCAATTCTAAGGATTCTGTGATTCTATTCTACTAAACACCCTATGGGTTATGGACAGATGTTCAAAGTGACTTTTTTGCTTAGACTGATTGGAGAGTAGAAAGAACCCTGCCCCTTCCTAGATTTTGAGGTGGAAGAGAAAGACTTGCTTGTGGTGATGTCCTTGTCTGTAAACACACTACTGATATGCCCTTGCGCAGGTGGCTGAAAGCAGCCCTCACTTCTGGGATCTTAGGCTGAGGTCTAGCAACATACTTTCTTTTCCATGTAACTCTTAGTGAACTGAGGGGAAAAAGAGTTTGATGTAGACTACTTTAGCATTTTCACATAAGGTGGTGTATAACAAAGACTGTTTTGATATTGTGCTTTTTGAATACTTCCAGAAATGCAAGGGTGTTGACTCACTCCTGTGCCTCTTGCTCAGAATTCCTTTCACACTTACCTTAGCCATCTGAGTTTTCTAGTCTGCAGAATTATTCTTGTTT